AGACAACTTCCAACTGAAACACAACTTCCAACTGAAACACAGCTTCCAACTGAAAGACAACTTCCAACTGTTACACCAGGGCAAATTCACGTTCACAGTTTGTTTTGATTTGTTTTTGACAATGAAACTGACATGGAGCAGTGTTGTATGTTTATGTTATCTTAATCTAGAGACTAACAGAGGCATCTTTTTCTTCTTCTTTTTTTTTCCTTTCACTGATACCAGGTTGTAGTCCAGTGTCGTGGTTTTTTCGTCTCATTGATACCAGGGTGTAGCCCAGTGTCGTGGTTTTGTAGACTGACTGATACCAGGATGTAGTCCAGTGTCTTAATTTTCTTTATTTGCCTTGCGCTTCTTGGGTTTCTTGAGTGATGGATTTGTTCATCTTTGTGCAGGTTTTAGCTACACTATCCATTCATCTCTTTCTTGGTCTTCCTCTCGCCTTCCTTGCATATGTTCTACTGTAAAAGGTCGCATATGCAGTCTGGTCTGGCTGCATTCTCACTAGATGGCTGAACCATTTAGTTCTTTTCCTGTCAATTTAATCTGGACATGGTCTTATTCCAACTTTCTCACTAATGTTAGTATTCATATTAGTGACCTTGCCGAGACAGAGCATTTCACATGAGGTTATTTTCTGTTCTAATGCCTTATTCATCAATTCTGTACTTTAGTCTTGTTCCAGAACTGTAAATTCTGGTTGTGTGTCCACAATTCTGTACTTTAGTCTTGTTCCAGAACTGTAAATTCTGGTTGTGTGTCCACAATTCTGTACTTTAGTCTTGTTCCAGAACTGTAGTTTTTGCATGCACATTTATTTCTCATATCTAGCTTCTTTGCATGCAGACTGCTGGTTTTTTGCCAGTCAGGCAGGTGCACTGTGACTTTGAAAGGAAACACCACTTTTACAATATACGTTTTTTTGTTTTTTTGGGGTGGAGGGGGGTCAGATTAGTGGGTTTCTTTTTCCCCCTAAAACATGTTCCCTGCAACCCACACAGGCAAGTTGGTGAGCAGTGGATTGTGCAGATTTACTGAATGCCTCCAGAGAGGCAAGGATAGATTACAGGAAAACGAGTCAGAATGGGTGTATCTTTCTGCCCTAAAGAGCACATATATGATCTTCCCTTACCTAGAAATCCCAACCATTGTGTTGTGTGTACTCATAATTTTTTAATTTGGTCAGAGCATGCTGAAAACTTTCTCTTGCACATGGCCACTTTTGCTGTGTGTTTAGCCTTTTTAAAAGTAGTGCACTCGTGATTTTGCATAGAGATGATTGCCTCACTAACCCATTTGCTGTGAAAGTGCTAAACTGAAAGATCATTTATTTACTATATAGAATTTATGCTGTTATGTGCATGTGAAACATTGACATTAAGCAGACAAACTGAGAAAAAAAATGTGGTTTCTGAGAAGAGTGCAAAGGATGTCATGGAAAATAGAAATAATAAATGAAGCAGTCCTCATCAAGGCAGATATGAGTTAAAAATTTACTAGAACTATTAGACGCAGACAAAGGTTTTTTGGGGGGGGTTTTTTCAACAAAGAATGGACTTGAAACTTGGCAACTACTAGCATGATTGATGGAAAAGGAGCAAGAGGAAGGCGAAGAGAGAAATTTCTTGTTGGCCCAGCCAGATGGATGGGACAAGTCAAACAACAATGAACTGATCTGTGGTTCTGTTGATTGTTTCAGCTGGCACTTATCGGCACGGCACATGAAGATTGTGATGAGTCATTTAGTGTGTTCAAAATCAGCAGCCTAGTAGTCGATAGTCTTACATATTTTATGTCAACTGTATACGCATGTATTTTGACTCTGTATTTTTTGTGTGAATAATTTGACTCTGTATTTCTTGTGTAAATAGCTTCTTAAAGCAGTCAGACACTACAGAGTTGCTACCAGGGATGGGCCGAGGTTACCGGCCTACTGGACGACACCTGATGTCTCTGCCCGAGGATAGCACCAAAGAGTTTCATGAGTATGGAGGTGGCGTCCACAAAGACAGACTGTCTCCCGGCATGCTGCTGCAGTTCAACAGGGAGTTGAGCTTGTTGGCTGAGAAGCTGAACATCACAGACAAGCTGGGCAACATGTGCCCTATGTATTTTAACTCTACAGAGTCTAATAGGTAATTTGTTTCAAATCGACTTTCAGGGCCATAGTGTTTTTTTACTCTACAAAGTCTAATAGGTAATCTAGGATATTGTATGCCAGGACTAGATGCAGTAGCATACTTCTTCTTTTCTTCTTCTTCTTCTTCGTCACCCGAAACTCTGGTGATTCTGGTTGCTCGTCCACTACTGAACTGCAGTCCTGCTTGTGCATCAGTTTTACAGAGCTCATTCTCTTGAATATTTTGCTGTTCTTTGCCTGACTGAGATGCATCTGACTTCATCAAGCATTTGTTGACTCGCTCTTACGACCTGGGTAGTTTTGGGTTTACAGCATAACTGCAATGTTTGCACCTTTTGGGGCCCCGAAACCATCTGACTTCATCAAGCATTTGTTGACTGCTTTACTTCCTGGGTAGTTTCTGTTTACAGCATAGCTGCAATATTTGCACCTTTTGGCTAACGTATCTGACTTCATCAAGCATTTGTTGACTGGCTTTACTTCCTGGGTAGTTTCTGTTTACAGCAGAGCTGCAATCTTTGCACCTTTTGGCTGACACATCTGACTTCATCAAGCATTTGTTGACTGCTTTACTTCCTGGGTAGTTTCTGTTTACAGCATAACTGCAATCTTTGCACCTTTTGGCTGACACATCTGACTTCATCAAGCATTTGTTGACTGGCTTTACTTCCTGGGTAGTTTCTGTTTACAGCAGAGCTGCAATATTTGTATCTTTTGACTGACTCATCTGACTTCATCAAGCATTTGTTGACTGCTTTACTTCCTGGGTAGTTTCTGTTTACAGCATAACTGCAATCTTTGCACCTTTTGGCTGACACATCTGACTTCATCAAGCATTTGTTGACTGCTTTACTTCCTGGGTAGTTTCTGTTTACAGCATAACTGCAATCTTTGCACCTTTTGGCTGACTCATCTGACTTCATCAAGCATTTGTTGACTGGCTCAGCTTCCTGGGTAGTTTCTGTTTACAGCATAGCTGCAATATTTGTATCTTTTGACTGACTCATCTGACTTCATCAAGCATTTGTTGACTGGCTCAGCTTCCTGGTTAGTTTCATGGGGCAGGAACAAGTTGTGGCCTTCTTTGTGTTGTGTTCTCTTTGTTCCCTTATCAACAGGTGTTGCCACTGAAAACCCCATCCAGGGCATCCGCATGTAGACAGGTCAGCCATTAAAGGAATACAGGGGCAAATTATGGGCATTCCCCACCATCCAAGGAGGCTTTCTATAAATGCAGAGCAAAATATGGTGCTCTGGTCCTAGGTTCATCCAAGGAATCTCACATCCTGCACATGACTGCTTAACCTCACATCTGCACCTTCTGAAGATTGGCAGATTGCCTAAGCAGCAAGTCCGGGACTTTGATGACCACACACAAAAAGTACATTTTTCTTCAGCACATTAAACACCTTTGACATTGTTTCATCTGGAAGCTTAGCAAGATAATATGGCAAAAGTATGCATTTGTCATGGTTCCCCCTTTTTTTTTGGTGATTGGGGGCCAATGTAACGGACATCTGAACCTTTCTGCCAATTAGTAGGACTTTTTTGGGCCGACATTCAGGATTTTGTTGCTGTGCCATAGGACATGTGTTTATGCCAAATCAGCTCACTGACAGTGGCGCGGTGACAGCAATGTTGAGAAACAACATGGGATCTATGGGGACAGGACTGTTGCACAAGTTACCGAGATGTTGCTCATCTAGGCTGCCAGCAAAACTCTTATTATAGGGTTGGAAACAGCAAAATTGTTTTCCTTTGTGACTGCATGTCAGTCCTCCTGGTGATCCATGAGACAACATGGAGAGAGAACTGACCCGCTAGCCAAACAGACTCTCAGAAATCAGTCAAATCGTTCTCCAGTGGATTCCGACTCGCTGCGGCATACCAGGAAATGAGCAAGCAGACAGGCTTGCTAAAAAGGGAACAAAGGAGAAACAACATACACATCTATTGTCATTACTAGAAATCAGAACACTTATCAAAGAATTGTGGAGAGAGCAAACATAACAGTAAATATCCACAAGACCCCATCAGCAGACTCAACAGAAAGCAACATACAACAATTTTCCATCTACAAACAGGACACTGGAGGCTCAACTACCAGATGCATAAAATAAAGATTGTACAGTCCCCGCAGTGTGCCTGTCAAACAGGACCAGAAACACCTGAGCACATTCTGCAGACCTGCCTACTCTCCCTACAACTTCTAAAAGACACATGGCCTCAAGAGCAGAGTGTTCAGTGCAGGCTATGGGGAACCATGAAGGACCTGCTTCTGACTTGCAAGTTCATAGAGGCAACCCACCTGATGGTCTGATCTGAGCATACGAAACCGAATGCAAAGAAAAAAAAAGAACAACAAGAATCTCAGCAGTTCAGCAGTTCTTCCCAAATAATCTTCAGGTATTTAATCTCAGTACTAGTGTCCGGCATGATGCTGACCATATCACCCATCTTGTGCCGATTGGTCTCTAAAAATATAGGTCTAGCCCTATATGCCCTATACGCCTAAAGGCGTGGAAAAGGGTCCTTAACTTACTTTTTTACTTACTAGACAGTGTGTGATTTTACCTTTTCTAAACTCTAAAAACTTTAAAGCCCACTAAAACAATTCTGTATTTGTGATGACGATAAATATATTACTCCAGAACTTGTGTTTTGCCGGTTTTTTCTTTGATTTTCTGAAAAATAACCATGTTCATTATTTGGCCTATTCTTTTTATCAGTAATGCCTAACATTGTTTTGGCCAGATTGGCTGAGCAGCTTAGAGGCTGGATGATTAGCCAGGAGGAAGAGAAAAAGAAGAAGGAGAAGAAACAGCAGCGGAAAAAGACACACTTTCCCTCCGCCAGACAGCCACGGGACACCTTCCTTCAGCAGCCAGACCCAGGCTGTGCCCAACAGTGAGGTGGACGGACCTGCGGTGAGCGGCAGCAACTACCCAGTGCAAGTGTTCAATGGGAGCTTCTACTCCAGGCAGCAGCTGCTGAGTACCATCCCCCAAAGGAATGACACTTTCTATGTGCTGTCATTCAGCACTGTGAGTTATTGATGTCGTTTGTTTGTTAGTTTTTCAATGACACTTTCTATGTGCTGTCATTCAGTTGTTGATGTCATTTGTTTTTTAGTTCTTGAATGACACTTTCTATGTGCTGTCATTCAGTTGTTGATGTCATTTGTTTTTTAGTTCTTGAATGACACTTTCTATGTGCTGTCATTCAGTTGTTGATGTCATTTGTTTTTTAGTTCTTGAATGACACTTTCTATGTGTTGTCATTCAGTACTGTGAGTTATTGATGTCACAGATATCACAGCCTAGCTGTCAGCTAGCCAAGGAGCTGCCGTGAGGCTCACATAAGCTTCGAAAGCCTGTCTTTTTTTTTTTTTTAAATTGACCTTGGCTCCCAGTCGACCCAGTCTTAAATGGGTAGCAGGTACAGTCCTTGAAAACTAAGTTAATAATTTTATGTGGGATTCCATAGTGCCTCATAAATTTCCAGAGAGAGATTCCCTATCAATGCTGTCAAAAGCCTTTTCACAGTCTATGAATCCAAAGTAAAGTGATAAATTCATTTCAATGCTTTGCTCTATTATTATATGTTATGAGGTTATCTGGTCAGTACAGGATCTTTTTGGCCAAAAACCTGACAGTTCCTCTCTTAGCTTTTCATCAGCAGCATCTTTTAGTCTTTCTAAAACAATCCAACTTTTTAATTTTTCCAGGAACTGACAGCAACATAATACCTCTATAGTTTCCCACTCCTGTCGATCACCTTTTTTTTTTGGGGGGGGGGGGGGGGGGGGGGGGGGGGGGGGGGCAGTTTCACAAGATATACTCTCTGATCTGCTGGTATTTCTTGTCTCCCAGACTTTACTAAAAAAAACTTTTCTAACTATTCCATTGATGTGTCTGTATTGGTCTTAATCACTTCTGCTGGGATACCATCTGGACCTGTCACCTTTCCTTCCTTCAGATAGCTTTCCTAATTTCCTCTTTAGATGTTATCTCACAGCTGATATCCAGTTCCATTTCTAAAGGCTGGATATCTGAAGGAACTGGGGCTGGTCTGTTCAGATGGATTCCAAAATATTCAGCACATCTGTTCATTTGATCTTCATTGTTGGTGAGTACCTTTCCTTGACTGTTTCTGATTGATCCAGTTGGCTGACTATATTTACCTGCTAATTTCTTCGTGTTACTGTAAAGTTCTCGGAGGTTTCCTTTTGCTGCTGCTATCTTCGTTTCTTGTAATAAATTAAGTAATCATGTGCAAGACATGACGATTCCTTCGGATGCGGCCAGTACCAGAGTATCATATATTGACTCTGCATTTATGGAAGGCCCATGCTTTTCCCTTACTTTCCCTTGAGGGTCGATCAAATCTGCAGGTGGAACCCTGAACGGTTCCTCTAGAGACAACACCTGTGTATCAGGATATGGTGGAAACAAAACACTTATGAGACTATAAATGTCGCACAAAACTTCTTTTTTTTTTTTTTTTTTTTTTTGCATTTACCGGCTCTTAACTCCGGCGGAAAGTTCTGATCGTTTGCCCACTTCTGGACTCAAGTCCTGTTCCAGAAACTGAGTGTTGCATGCACATCCCTTTTACAGGTCTGACTCATTTGCAGGCAGACTGTTGGTTCCTTACCTCTCCGGCAAATGTACTCTGACTTCGTAAGAAGCTCCCATTTAGTCGACTCTTACGACAGGCGTGTTGGGCAGGCAGTGGTTCTTCTTGTTTTCCCCGCAATGGGGCCCCAGGAACCCACACGAGGATCCTACAAAATTAACTTAGAAGACTAACCCGGATAAGAAATGCCTGAAGAAGCTGGATGTGTTGATCAGTAGGCAGAATATCTCAGCTGTGCTGTAAACAGGCACAAGACATATTTACATTGCACATATCAACAGTGAACAAGAAGAAGAACTAGTCACAGTAATCACAGGCCAGGGTGGTTCTGATGTGTTGCTAACAAGCTTGCAAAAGAGACCATTAGCCATGTGCCCTACAATTTCTCCTCGAAGAGAGACTAAGGATATGTGAGCTTGTCCGAAGTGCAGTGATGTCAATTCTTCATAATGTATGTCTTGCTTACCTACTGTTTTTCCTTTTATCTTAGGATTACTTTCTAGTGCCTGCCAGTGCACACAACAAAACTATGAGGCCTCGTATGTCGCTGCTGATGCCAGTAGTTACCCCATCTGTCAATGGTAAGTGCAGTCACAGTGTAGTCTTTGTTTGTTTTCTTCTTCTTTGTTCACCGGCTGTGAGCTGCGGCGGAGGGTCCTGGTTGTTCGTCCATCCAGACTTAGGCTTTGTTTCAGGTCTGAGTTTTAGTAGACAGAAGAAGAAGTAGTCTAGCTGTAAACCACAACACAACATGCCAACCACTCTTTCAAGGATAAATATAGAAGAAGAGTATCTGCGTTTGTCCAATACTGTATTATTAGTCTGTCATGTTAGAAGCAGAGGAGATGTTTCTGTCTTCATCTTCATTGTGCTCAACCCATTTTTTTTCAGAAACCTGTTGACACTCAATGTGGTCAGCATCACACTGGCCGACTTTATGTCTGGGACACTTTCTAAAACCCATTTTAGCCTGGGTCAACCTGGGTGCCTGAGTCCTCTATAGGAACCATTTCTACATGGAGATTTTAACTCAAGCCTTGTACTGTGTAAACTCAGTATTCGATGGTACCTGGATATGAGTTTTTTCAGGATAGGAGGTCAGGCTCGCCAGATTAGTGTGTGTGTATGCCTCAGAATATGAGACGGTGTGGGCTAAAAAGATGAGAACTGTGTAACCTGACATAATGTGGATAACTTGTGAAGGGATTAAGTCAAATTAACATACTGAATAGTGTCCTAAGCCAGTCAACAAGGCACTTGATGATGATAGAGTGTAGCATCATTGTGGGATGTAACCCCCTTTTCTGTTTTTAAATTATTGTAACCATTCATTCATTCATTCAGTAGCATGTCCCTCGCGGAACCTCGCTGCCATAACAACCCTCCGGAAAACCTTCCTATCCTGAGCAAGATGTCCCGCGTCTGATACACCCATCTGGAGATCATCTGCCACATCCTGCACCCATCTTCTCCTTGGCCTTCCTCTTCCTCTCTTCCCAGGCATATACCCCTCCATTATTGTTCTCTCTAGACTTCCATGACGTTTCAAGTGACCAAAATATTTCAATTTTCTTTGTTTTATTGTCTTTACTAGCCAACCCTCTTCAATATTCAGCTCTTGAAGTATGGATGCATTTGTTCTTTTCTTTACCCAAGATATTCTTAGAACCTGTCTGTAACATTTATATTCAAATGCATTTATGCGCTGTTCCGCTTGTTTAGTAAGTGTCCAGGTCTCACAATGTTTTCTTTCATGATTGTAATGGATTCTTGGCAAAATTTGCAGAAGGTAGTTTGCCTTTTCTTTCCTCCTGAGCAGTGACTATACTAGTCGGTGGCCATAGCCATTGTCTCTACTGATGAGATCATCTGCCTATCGCCGCAGAGTGCAGACCATAACCATTAATACCTGTCGGCTGCTCTTACACTCCATCCACCACCTGCTTCCATGGCTTCACGTAACCCTGATTGGGGTGCTAAACGGGTACTCCACCTTGCCCAAGGGTGTCCTGTAGACTAGCGGAGGAAAGGAGGCGTCTTACTTCTCCTTTGATAGGGGATACCCCTACCCCGCTAACCGATTATTGTAACCAGAGCAGTTAAAATTATAAACACAAGTGAAAAGAAACAGTGATTTTTTGGAGGGACTGGAATGATTTAAAATTATTTTCACTAATTTTGAGGGGGGAAATTGTTACAGGATACGAGTTATTCATCATGTGAGCTCATTCGTAGAACAGATTAAGTTTGTGTCATAAGATTCCACCGTGTATTGTTATATCTGGCTGCAGTTAAGGTCTTTCTTAATCAGTTCAGACAACATGACCAAACACCCCTAGCTATCAGCTGTATGCAAGCCTCTTGTCCCTGATCTTTAACTGCTGCTAAACTTTAGTGCTCTGCTGCTGCTCCTAAACTTTAGTGCTCTGTCGCTGCTCCTAAACTTTAGTGCTCTATCACTGCTCCTAAACTTTAGTGCTCTGTTGCTGCTCCTTAACTTTAGTGCTCTGCTGCTGTTCCTAAACTTTATTGCTCTGCTGCTGCTCCCAAACTTTAGTGCTCTGTGGCTGCTCCTTAACTTTAGTGCTCTGTTGCTGCTCCTTATCTTTAGTGCTCTGTTGCTGCTCCTAAACTTTAGTGCTCTGTTGCTGCTCCTAAACTTTCGTGCTCTGTTGTTGCTCCTAAACTTTAGTGCTCTGTTGCTGCTGCTAAACCTTAGTGCTCTGTTGCTGCTCCTAAACTTTAGTGTTCTGTTGCTGCTCCTAAACCTTAGTGCTCTGTTGCTGCTCCTAAACTTTAGTGTTCTGTTGCTGCTCCTAAACTTTAGTGCTCTGTTGTTGCTCCTAAACTTTAGTGCTCTGTTGTTGCTCCTAAACTTTAGTGCTCTGTTACTGCTCGTAAACATTAGTGCCCTTTTTCTAAACTGTAGTTTTTCAGCCAGAAATCAATGGCAGAGCTGAGAAGATCTTGCTGTGTTTGATCATACTCATATTTTAAATCAGTCTTCTGCTTCTCTCTTAACCTTCACTGGTTGTAAACTCCAGCAGAAAGTTCTGGTTGTTCATCCACCTCTGGATTGTAGTCTTATTCCAGAACCTGAGTTTTGCATGCACATCCATTTATAGATCTGGCTTATAAGTGTGCAGACTGTGGGTCCTCTTCTCTTAGGCAGATGCACTCCAACCTCGAGGTAAACACCCCTAATTAGTCCACTTTTACTACATGCTTTTATGGGGGGGGGGGGCAGTGGACCTCGGGACCTGCACATGGTAGGCTTTAAATAAATCGTTCTCTCTTACTTACTTCACAGACAGCCGACTTTACAGCATTGGAGTCATGCAGATTGACTGTGAAATTCTTAACACCAACTTAATCCACCTGTACCGCTCCGCCTTCACGGAGGAGACCCTGAACAATTCAACAGCCTATGCAAGCAGTGAAAGCAACCACAGAGGGGATAGAGAAAACAGTGAAGATGTGCACGCCAAACAAGAGGAGCATAGCAGCACTGCTAAAAAGACCTACAAGAATATCAAGTACTGGGAGAAACTGCGCAAGACAACAACGGTTTGACTGGTTCTGTAATCAGCAGTTCATGTATTAACACTAGTTATGTCCAAGCTCTTTGTAATGTTATTGACTCAGCCATTAGATTCTTCCAATGAGGGTACTGGGCTCCTGTTTTGGCAATGTGGGAAAAGAAAAAGGGGGGGTGGGGGGATAATACACCCACTGCCCCTCTCCCCCACAGACATGTTGTAAAAGGCAACTAATAAGGGGTGTTTCCTTTGAAGTTGGAGCGCATTTGCCTGAGAAATAAGGACCCCACAGTCTGCACACAAACAAGACAGATCTGGAAAATGGATGTGCACACAGGTTCTGAAACAAGACCAAAGTCCAGTGGTGGATGAACAACCAGAGCTTTCTGCTGGAGTTTACAGCAGGTGAATGTTCAAAAGAAGTAGAAGAACCATGGAATTTACCATATGTTAATTATTTGCCCGAAGACAGCAAGAGTTGGTTCAGCAGCTCCTGAGTCCCAATGAGCGCATGATGTGCCGATTTTATGTCTCTCTTCTCTACTCCTTGGGCCTGTGATGCTAAATCCTCTGGGACTCAATGTTAAAAGACAGGGTTTTTTTGTGTGTGATAATTTATTGACTTAGTTTTAGATGTTACCTTCACCGTATATGTGCCTTAGTTCATTCATGACATCCTGTGCTCTGCGAGGAGATTCTTCGGACTCAGACTTGAGTTAGAAGTAGAACGGAGCACTTATGGGTTACCACCCTTGTGCCATGATGTTGATCCGTTGTTTAAACCTTAAACCTATCCTGTTAAAGAGAAAAGTAACAGTAAAGGACTTTATTGGCCTTTTCACGTCAGTGGCATGTCGGGGTTATGATGACTCTTGTTTTTGTAGACAGATGACACTCGGGGGGTGATGTAGTCAACATCCAGCAAGTTACGCGTTTGTCATATTGTCATTGTGTCTTGCCATATGTTAATGAACATGGGCAGAATATAGGTTTACTGGGGATGCTTAAGTGATCTGCATCAATTTGATGTTTTTATTAAAAAGTTTACCTTGATTCCCAGGTCAGCCTAGTCTAAAATGGCTACCAAGTTGCATATCTTTTACTGGACATTGCAGAACCAACCCCAGTATTTTTTGGCTGTTGGGGTTTTTCTAGGCAAATTTAACGTTCAGTAGTTTGCCATTGCTTTCTGAACTGTCAGCTCTCTGTACCACTGTCCAAACCAATGCGAGACAAACTGTCCGCAGCTAAGATAAAGTGCGCTCGCAGCCCCTAAGCCACAGACTCTGACTTACCAAGTAAAGTCCTGGAAAATAAAGGCAGCTGCTGTAATGTTGACTAAATCTTCCATTGAGTGCTGGCTGGCCTACAGAATCCCTTATGGTTTCTCGGACCACCATGTTCTGAGGGGGAAAAGGGCCCAATGCCTCCCTAATAAGCATGTCGCACAAGACGATTAATTTAGGGAATATGCTTGTAAATCAGAGTACATCTGTCTGAGAGGCAAGAAACCAACATCTGCACACAAATAAGTTAGACCTGTAAAATGGATGCACGCAGAACTCAAGTTCTGGTACAAGTCTAAAATCCATTAGTGGATGAACAACCAGAACCCTCTGCCTGAGTTTACAGCCTGTTGAGCGATAAGAAGTAGAAGAGCTCTACAAAAACCACCTGTAAAATTGATCTGCACACCAAACTCAAGTTTTGGAACAAGACCAAAGTTCAGTAGTGGATGAGCAACCAGAACCCTCTGCCAGAGTTTACAGCCGGTGAGCGATAAGAAGAAGAAGGTCTACAAAACGACTGGCTTGAAAAGGATCCATAAAACAACCCCAAAAAAGGAGATGCTAAGAGGTGATGTAGTGATGCCTTGATTGTTAGTCTGCATAAGGTCTCAGATCTTTGCAAAGGGCTGTCAATGTAACAGTAAGCGATAAGATCAAGAATGATGAAATCTGAAGGAAAATGGTGGGGTAGCAGCAGCTGTGGATTTCATTAGAAGACAACAGGTGAAATGGTTTGGCCATGTAACGCGGATGTCAGCAGACAGTATACCTCAGCAATGATGTACACACCAGGCAGGAAGCGAAGAAAGGCCAACAGTGCAAGCAATGGACAGGGGGAATTACAGAGTCCCTGGGAATCCCCATTTAGCAGCACAAATATGGGCTTTTTCTCATAAATGATAAACCTCTCATAAATGATACTTCCTTCACCTAGACACTGCAAGGTATAAGATGATAAAGGTCTCAAAGGTGCTTGACAGAATGTTTGATCAGATACAGAATTGGGAAGCCAGATTCAAGATTTTGCAAATCAAATTTACTCTTTTTATTAGCTTTTTTTAAGGTTGCTTTTGTTTGTCTGGTTCAGTTGTTTCAAATCAAATTGACTTTTTGCTAATACAGTTCGCCCTTTCATAAATCAAGCTCTTCTACAATATTTTTTTTCTATCATACTAAAAAAAAAAAAAATTTAATCTGATTACAATTATTGTTTACATTTTTGAATTGCAGAATGATGATTGTTAGCTTGCCAATACTGTATTATTTAATTCTTGTCGCAGAATTTTGTAATCTAATGGTGGGGAGCAGTGATTATTTTTCTTGCTTTTGACGTCTGTGTTCATAATTTTATTTATTTATTGCTGTTAATTGTGCTTTGTTACTTTCTCAAATATTATTATGAGTGGTGTAGTTGAATGCAGACATGGCTTTTTAATAATGCAAATGTTATTTTGTTTGATTTCATTCCACAGTTGCCATAATGATTTTATTTAAAAGTAATAATATATATATATATATAGATAGATAAACCAGGGTGTCCCATACATTTCTCTAGATAGGAAACTTTTTTTTTCTGGTTACATTTTTATTTATACATAATATGCTCAACATCAGCGGTTTTCAACCTGCTGGTCGCAACCCTTTTTTGGAGTCAACTACCCTCTCACAGGGGTTACCTAAGACCATCAGAAAACGGAAAACACATTTTTATTAAAGTTATGTAGGAAAATAATTGTTTGAGGGTGGCCACAACGTGAAGGAACTGTATTATAGAGTCTGGGCATTAGGAAGGTTGAGAGCCACTGCTCTACATGACTACCGTTGTTTTGAAAACAGATTTTGATGCGTGGCCTCCACTGCTGAAGAATGTGTGCAAGCACAGCTGAAGTTATGCTTGTAATGAAGTTGATGATAACAGATATATTTCCTTTGGAAGGACACTTATGGGACACCCTGGACCAAATAAGTTAATGTTTGTTCTTATGTGATCAACGCATTCCTGGGCTGTGTATGTTGTCTTAATTTTATTGAATTTTGGGATGCATAGTTTTCTAGCCATCATGTCTAAAGAAGGTACAGAGGCTGACACACTTGCCAGCTAGGTTGGTGGTCATAGATTTGAATCCCTACTGAAGGTGATTTGTTTTTAGATTAACCTGGATGAGGTTGAATCATTTTAATCCTGAAGAACCCAGGCCAACTGTTTTTAGATTAACCTGGACGAGGTTGAATCATTTTAATCCTGAAGAACCCAGGCCAACTTCACGGTGAAGACAAATTTGACATTTGTCGATAAGATTTGAATCCCTACTGAAGGTGATTTGTTTTTAGATTAACCTGGGCGAGGTTGAATCATTTTAATCCTGAAGAACCCAGGCCAGCTTCAAGGTGAAGACAAATTTGGAATTTGACGATAAGGTTCAACTTTAGGACAATAGTAATTTTAATTATTATTTTTAAAATGTGTAACCTTGACCTTCTTTACTCAGATGTTCCATCCGTGAACTGTTGAACTTAAATGGCATTGATTTGTTCAAATAAATTATAGTTAATAGTTTTTTTTTTCCTTACATGCCACACTGGTCTAAAATGACAGAATTTGTCAATGTTAATAAATTGTGGTTGTCTTAGGACTTTTCTCACTTCCTGGTCTACTTCCATTGTTCCATATAAAAGGGGCATTATTTATTGTAAAAGTTACGTGATGACCTAGAAACAGCCAGTGTAAATAACATTTTAAGAAAATTCCTATCATCTTCACAGAAGAAAAATACTGACATTCAAATCATGTTTGTGGTTTATTCCACTAAAATCATCCCATGGTCGCTTTTTGTATGCAACATTTTTTTTATATGACAGCCATAAACGCATAATGTAGAATTGCCATCCTCATAGCTCCACTGCAGCCTACCTAATCTGTGTTTGTAGTATGCATTTGTCACACAATACATGGGAGTAACTGTGAACAAGCTGCGACTGCGAATTAAAAGTGATTTAATCAAAGAAGCAGAGGACTTCACACCTGCTTGTCGTCTCTGTGATCTAGGGCTTTGACCCTACAAAACTGACAAGACTCATAATTTCTGTTGCTTCTCTTTGAGTTTCTTCGGGTAGAGTTTCAGAGAATTATAAGGATGCAATTTTTTTAATGGAATTTGACAGGGTTTTTTGGGTGTGGGGGTGCAGATTCATTTGATTTCTTCCAGCCTTTGACTGTCCCCAGTTCCACCTGCAGCAATGGATGTATTTCCCTCTTTGTCTGATCTCTTCTGACCTGTCCCAGAAGCTAATCTGTCTTCGGAGTAGCTCTTGGATATCACTGGAACTGACAAGTTACTTTATCTGCCACCTCAAGTTGACTGCTGCTGCCTTTAAATGCATTCTTGTTGAAGTCTGAAGTTTGATGATGAAGAAAAGACACTCTGGGCATTGTACTGTTTTCTTGGTTTATTTGTTGCCGGTGCACCATTTCACTGCCTGTGTAATGTTTCCTTATTGAAATATTGTTGTATATTGTAAGTCTAACATCAGAAAACCAGATCATGCAGTAATTCCTCAAACATGCATTCCAATAAGTAAGAGTTGTCGCCGGAGCTACGGAGCACATGCTCTGTGCTTGATGTCATCTTCAGTCACGGGTGGTGAGCATACTTTAGATCTTTGCTCCAGGCCATGCTGGCGTGGTGGCTAATAACAGGCAGACAGATTGGCTGTATCTGCATCACTGGGTAGTAAATTGATACAT